TAGTCATAGGATGTCTTCTCATGATCCCTCACTGGAAAATAAGGACATTCCCATGTTTCCATGTGCTGAGGGTACAGATCATCATAGCCATGGTCCTCCAGGGCTGGAGGCGTGGGGTTATTGATGAAGCTTTTGGAGTCTGCTTAAGATTTGATGGGAAGAGAGCCTAAATCCTATCTACGTGGATGGGGCAGGCTTCTTACTCTTGCCTTTTTTAAACTTCTGGGCCGCCACCTTATGTGGACTTTGAGATAGACCTGTAAACAAATCTGGACCTGTAAATGTGTCCTGAAAACCTTTTTGACCTTTAGGAAGCAGTTCTCCAGCCAGCTCTAAAACATCATTCTGCTTCCTCCCCATCCCACATCTTTACATTGATGAAACATTGTGAGAACTCTTCATGTGAAGCTTCTAAATTCCACACCTGGACATACAACTGTTTGGAAAAAATCAGGACTGAGTAATTAGAGTATTTCTGTGGCCATGTCATGTTGCCCCATAGGCTGAGGGAGATCATTTGTTCTGACAAGGTGGTAGTTACATATGATAATTAGCAGAACTTAATAAAACACAGCAGAGAAATAAAGCTGTTAGGCATGAAATAATTCTTATTTCTTCTAAAACACAGGTCAGTTACTGTTTTTATTACAGTTCTGAATAGAGCTAGGTATTGATAGAAAGCTCTCTGTAAACTGTTTCCTTGTCCACTTAAGTGTGCTGGCAATTACATTCCATGAGTCTGCTAGGTAGATAATTTTAATAAAGGTTGCTGGTGAATTCTAGATGTTGTAAAGAAATTACTAGTAGGACTAAATCTGAGCATTTCAAGTTAATTTTTGTGTCTCTGTTGCAACTGCAGTCCAGAGCCTTGCCATGGAAGAGGAGCTCATCATATCCTGGAGGAGGCATGGCTGTGAAAAATCAATAACTTGTCCTCCAGTTCCTGGAACTTTTTTTTTTAGCTTATCCTTACACCAAATTAGATTTCAGATATTTCATTTTTTCATTCCACATGCCTGCTGAATGTCCTACTGATTGTTCTCTGATCTTGAGCCTAGAATTGCTGGCAGCTCTTCTGTTTAAAATTACAGCTTTTTCTTCCAGATTCAGCATTGCTTTGCAGCATTTTTTTTTGCTCAGCCTCCAAGAGTCAGGGAAGAGTTGTAGACACATTCCCCATGCTTTTCTTTTGCTCTTCTGCACCCTTTACCCCTTTTTATTTAAAGAGTTGGCCCCAGTGTGTCACCTGCAAATACTGAAATTGTTCCTCAGGGCCAAGCTCAACCTCCAGCTTTGTGGTATGGTAGGTGAGAGAGGAATGTTCTTCTGGAGGAAAAGTGTGTGCAGTCCTTCTGGCATGCAGTGCATTTCCTTGGTGTAACCATCTATCTTTTCATCATCACTGGTCACCTCCTGTGACCGGGTACCAGGGGGCTGCTGGCAGGCATGCACTCAGCCCTCCAACCACGCCAGCTAGTCCTGTACTCAGCAGATGCAGAACAGGTGCCTTGTCATATGTGCTGGTTATTTGAGACTGCTGTTATCTGATAACCTGGAGCAGCAGGATGAAAGACCTTCCACTGGGTTTTTTTTTTTCCCCTCAGAAGCTGTGTTGGCCTGATGTGAACATGGAGTGTTTTGTTTTTGTATCCCCCATTTCCAGGTGATTCCTCCCAAGGAATGGAAGCCACGGAAAACCTATGATGACATAGATGACATGGTTATTCCAGCTCCCATTCAGCAGGTGGTTACTGGACAGTCAGGATTATTCACCCAGTATAACATACAGAAGAAACCTATGACTGTGGGAGAATATCGACGCCTGGCTAATAGTGAGAAGTATGTTGGTGTGAAGTGATGCACTTATATTGTGGATGGGGGAGTTCTGTGGAAAGCTTTTCTTCCCAGAAACAAGCTGAAAAGAAGATGCAGCCCTGTTAAGTAGGAAACGTTTTGGAGGAAACTGAAAGCCTTGAAAGCTTACATTCAGAATCTCAAACAAGTCTGTAACTTGCAGGCTCTTGTTGTGTGTTAGATCTTTTCCAGGGGTGGTATTGAAAGATTCTTCAAAGTCAGTATTTGGCTACGAATCTGCCTGGAATGGAATGGTTTGGGTTCAAAGAAGAGCTCCTGGTGTGTTAATGGTGGTTCTGGTAAATGTGATCTGTGGCTGAGGTAGAATTCCAAGTATCTGGGGTGCCTGAGGTAACCCTGATAACAGGAGTGTCTTCTGAAGTCACCAGGAGCTTTGTGGAGCACCTCTGTTAGCTGGGACAGGCCGACTGCTGCCAGCTGCACTTGCATCCTGTTTCCAGAGTCCCTTCCCAGTGCTCAGGAGCAGTACTGACATCACAGAATCAGCTCTGAAGTGTTGCTGCTACAGCCTGTACACAAGTGCCTCACCTGCCTTCAGCTCCCTGTGCACTATCATCTCCTGTGTCCTGAGGGGGGGGACCTGATGCTCCACCTAAGTGCACATCTTGTTCACAGTGTGCACTGAGAACTTCAGTAGGAAGATGTAAAAGGCAGTAAATTATCTGAATCTGAGTAGAACTGAAAACAAAATGCACTGTCAGTAACCTCCTGAGTGTCCTTGCTTTGAAATGCACGTTTCTTTTCAGTCGTTTACCTGCCTGTGGTGAGTGTTCCTTTGGAATCCTTGTATCCTAACCTTTTCCCTGTTTTTCTCAGGTACTGCACTCCACGCCATCAAGATTTTGAAGACTTGGAGCGCAAGTACTGGAAGAACCTCACATTTGTCTCACCAATTTATGGGGCTGATATCAGTGGCTCCCTGTATGATGCAGTAAGTGAAATACTCCTCTTTTATTTTAAATATGGACACTGACTTCCCTATTGCTCTTTTCTCTCTAAGAAAAAGTAATTCAAACTTTATTTGATGTAGCAACCTTAAAAAAACAAACAAATGAACAACCCCCCCAAAAAAAACACCCAAATAAATAATAACCACAAATAACATCTTTATTTTTCTCTCATTACAAAAGTGTGACTAAACTTCCCACCTTCCCTAGAAATTCAGGGTAATGGAGTTAATGGAAGCCTTGAAAAGCTTAGTTTTTTAGCTTAGTTTTACTAAAATGAGGAAAAAAGTTATTTAAATGAGTTCTTGCAAAGTGTGTGGCCAAAAATTGTATATAGCTTGCAGAAAAGTTGTTAGAGAAGACTGGACTGATGTCACATGTCCAGATATGTGTGATGGTATGCAGGTAAGTGAAAAGTCAGTTACTGATCCTGATCTCTATCATGTTAGGGTTTGTTTTGTTTTTTTTTTTAAAGGGAATAAAATAGAGGTTCTGCTCAAGCACATTAGCCAGAAAAAGCATCTCAAGGAACTGGATGTTTCATCAACATTTTTTTTTTTTAATTCTTAACACAACAAGAACATTTGCACTTGGATTTTTTTTCTTTATAAAGAGCTATATTAGTGTACAGTGCATCCATGTGCTAAATTATTTTACAATTCAAGTTGTTTAAGCTTTTTCTTGCTAAAATTGCATCCTGTGCCTAATTCTGTTGTGGTTTCTGCTTAACTCTGTTGTGATTTCCTCTGCTGTAAATGATAAAGGTTACTTCTTCCTACCTTTAGGCAGCTCATTTAAATCAGTGTCCTTTCTCTGTAGATCTCTTCTGAAGTGGAAAGTGGCTTTTTTTGAGTGTTGTCTGGTTGTCTGCAGTACAAATTGTGTTAATATAAAAATGTTGGTTTTTTCTTTTTTCAAATTATCAGTATGGTTTAATATAGAATTAATTGGGATGAACATAAATATCTGAGCCTTTCACAGGCAGGGATATCAACTACCCCACAGTATTTGGTGCTTTAATGAGAGTATCACATTCTTGTCCCTGCTATGATCAGGAGGGTGATATAACCAGACACAAACACAAGGTTTAGGAGAAACAGCTTCTGCAGTGTACTGAATATACATCAAGTTTCCTTCAGTTCCCTATAAGCAGAAATGAAATAACAGAATTACCAGTCTCACTAAAGAACATTTCCTATTGTCCAATCACTGACATTGCTGCAAGCACTGAGGTGTCAGAGTCATGAAAAACATTCTCCCTTTGCACTCCTTCATCACTCTGTTCAGCTGCTTCCTTTCTTCAGCCCTTCCCTCCCTGCCCCTGCAGGGTTTGGGGTTTCTTTCAGGTTGATTTAGAAACTTTCAAGATTGAGCAGCTTGAGTGTCTTGCAGTGACTCCAGCAAGCAGCATCAAGTTGAGGTTGCTTCACATACCTACCAGTGACTTCCATTCCCCAGTACACTGGTGAGAAAGGGTGTGAAGGAAACTTCATTTCCTTTTGGAGGTTGTGTTGCTCTTCAGGTAACATCAGGGTGAAAGATTTGTACCAGTTTATTTGACTTCTTCTATTTCACATTGAAGTAGAGAATACCAACTATCAGATTTAGAACTTCTTTTTGCTGCTCTTTCTGTTTAAATATTGATAACACCAAAACTGTCTTCCCTATTCTTTATCTGAAGGACTGAGCTGATGTAGAGGGGCCACACTGAAGTCTGGTGTTGCTCATCATGTTCATCAAGTGAAGAGTGTCTGGATGGAATATGTCAGTGGGAGAAGTGTATTCTACCCTTAGTTTGTCTTATGTTTATTAGTAGAACAGTTACTTAATGGTAAAGTATCACATAGTGCAAGGGCTTCTTCAGAGAACAGATTTAGTAAGAAGCTGGTGACCAATCCCTTTGCCTGTTCACCCTTATTGATGGACATTGAATGTAAGCTTTCTGGAAGCAGATGGAATTTAAATGAATGCAGATGATACTGGCTTATCCACATTTTAAGGCATTAAAAGGAAGTTCTGGGATATTAATCTGCTTAATATCTCTTGATATGTTCCAGTACAAAGCATTTCTTTTGAATTTGTTTTCCAGGATGTGGAAGAATGGAATATTGGCAATCTGAACACACTGCTAGACATGGTGGAACATGAGTGTGGCATTATCATAGAAGGTGTAAACACTCCCTACCTCTACTTTGGGATGTGGAAGACAACATTTGCTTGGCATACAGAGGACATGGATCTCTACAGTATCAACTACTTGCATTTTGGGGAGCCAAAATCCTGGTAAGTGATAGAGTAGTAATAGATGGTGGCTAACATACCTGTGCCCTCACTTTGCAAAACCCTTTTCTTCACTTCTACCTAATTCTATCAGGCCTATTTAGTCTTTCATGTCCCATCTTTTTCCCTCTCCTGCTCTACATTTGAAAGCAGTTTTAGGGGTTTTTTTATGCTGATTTGCTCCAAGGCCTAATTCCTGATTTTCTAGAGAAGTAGCAGAATTAGGGACACTCAAGTAAAAACAGATTTTGGCACTTGGGGCTTATTGGAAACAACTGCAAAGGAGAACACTCTTGTTAAGTGGTAGAGCAAATGGTGATGGGGACGTGTGGATGCTTCAAATGCACTTTAACAGTGGAAGACTATTGTTCTTGCAGTGTGCTGTAGGCAGGAAACATCTTCTTACTTGAAAATTTCCATTCTTTAGATATATAAATGTGCTTACAACTCCAGGGACAAGGTAAGTCAAAGGGTTACTTTTTCATGGTCAATTCTTAGAATAACAATAAGTATTTTTCAACATTGTTGATGCATAGACTGGTTGGAAATAACTTTCCACAAAAAAATAATCAAGAGATAAAGAGGAAATTAAGCTGGGAAATGTGGAATAAATTACCAAGAGCTGGTATTCTTCTTTCTCAAGCCTCCTATTTAAAAGTATAACCACAGAGACTTAGCAACCCAGAAGAGTTTTCCTGAAGACCTTAATGTGACTAATAAATATTGACATTTACGTGCAAATTGCAGCTGAAATGTCAGTGTGAAGCTGCTGTCATGGTGCCTTGGCAGTGGCAGAGAAGATCCTCCTATCTCTCTGCAGTATGAGCCCCTGGTGACACCAGGTATCTGCAGGCTGTTACTGCCTGTGGGCATATAATTCTACAACAGCAAAGCAGCTGTAAGGAATGGATGGAGTGTTCTTTTACAGTCTTGAAAAGCAGTGGAAAGAGGGGCTGAATCAGAAAATTCAGTGTCAGAAAATCTGTTTCCCAGCACAGCCACTTGTTAGTCTCCCCCTTTCAGGCAGATGCACGAGGGTTGTGCAGAATCTCATGTTACCTCTGTTAAACAAGCTCCCATCTCAAGAGCTGTATCTGTGGATTAGGAGTGAAATGTGACACACTCTCATGTTAGATGCTGTCAGTGTTTTTCCTTCATCCTCAGCAGCATTTCATCAAAACGTTTCTGTTTGGGCCCCATCTCCAGCAGATGGTGCCACCAGCACACGAGAAGCACTCGCTCTCCTCACACAGCCCCGTGACCACCAGCAAAGCCAGTTTCACCTTTCAGGTGGTGTTTTCAGCACCTTGGCATGGGAAGAGTCAGCTGCTCTAGGAGCTGCACGAGCAGCTGACCTGAAGTTTGGTGCCCTGAGGTTTGTGCTGGGGTCGTGCCACCCTGGCTCTCTCTGACCGCTCCTCACGCCGACGTCTTATCAGTTCTGCCTCAGCTGTCTGCTCCTTGCTTTTTGTTCTGAGCCCAGAACAGGGGATTACTGCTTTCAAAAAGCAGAAATAAGAACAGATTACCTTGAAAAGCAGTTACAGCATGAAAATAATGGCTGTTCCACATGGTGAGCACAAGTTCAAGATTAGATGCTAATTGAAGTATACGGGCAGTATTTGTAGTCTGTCCTAAACTGTTTTTCTTCTGGAGTGCATCTTAGGAACTTCATATTTGTTTGGGTTGTGTGGTTTTTCTAAAGTTTCTTTGTTATTTTTTTTATTTGGGTTTTTTTTGTTCGCTTTGTTTGTTGGTTTGGATTTTTTTTTGCAGAAATAAGAACAGATTACCTTGAAAAGCAGTTACAGCATGAAAATAATGGCTGTTCCACATGGTGAGCACAAGTTCAAGATTAGATGCTAATTGAAGTATACGGGCAGTATTTGTAGTCTGTCCTAAACTGTTTTTCTTCTGGAGTGCATCTTAGGAACTTCATATTTGTTTGGGTTGTGTGGTGGTTTTTTTTAAGTTTATTTGTTTTGTTTTGTTTTTATTTGGTTTGGGATTTATTTGTTTGCTTTATTTGTTGGTTTGGTTTTTTTTTTGAGTATTGTAGACACAATATGTGTATATCCACATATGTTTATATCATAAGGATGGTCAACTCATTGCATGAAGCTATTGCTTCATCTTTACTAAAAAGTGGTTTTTTAATGTCTTTACTTTGGCTGTTGTTTCTGTAGGAAATGCAGATTGTGTAGGAGACAAACAAAACCTCCAAACAGTAAAGCCCCAAAAACCTTTGTGTAGTGTGTTTGTGTGAGGAGGTTAAGGATCAGAAAAAAGTGGAAATTGTAGATGGAAAATTCATTCTTGCAAATAGCAGATCTTAGAAGTCCTTGGTAGCTTTTATTTCTGTATGATTTTCTCAGGATTTTGGGGAGGTGCTGAGGAGCACACAGTATTCCCCTAAGAGGTGTTTCAGTTTGAGTTTTTGATTATTTTTTTAGAAAAGGAACTTTTACCCCACTTACAAAGGAGGGGGAAGATTTTTATTCAGCTATTCTGTGTATAGTTTTTACAGGAACTAATTCTATAAACCCTACATGGTAGGAGGAAAATGAGGATTTTGAGGACAGACCATATTTTGGGCAAAACATTTTCCCATTCAGTGGAGATTTGTTATATAGATGACAGTGTGTAACACAGAACTAGATGCATCATGACAGGATGCCACTGCTGGTTTGGCAGGCCTCCCTGCTGTTCCCTTAAGCATAAGGCAAGAGTATGCCACTTGCCCAAGTAATTTCTTCCTTGTTCTTCACTGTGACAGCTCCAGTTAATGAGTTCTCAAGCTCTTCTGCAAACAAGCATTGGCTTCTGAGGAGAAAATCTCAAAGCCCCTCAGAGCAGACCTGGAACTTTCCAGGTACCCGAGCAATCATCCATCTTCTGGTTGTGGTTGCAGTCATCCCAGAGCTCAGCTGGGGGAGCTCGTGGACTTCAGTGATGAGATTCCAGTGGTGCAGCCTGGCTTTCCTCAAAGATGGCTAAAATGTTAGTTCTCTGTTTCTGGCGCCACCTCTGTGGAAATTTCCCAGCTTCCTTCATCCTTTTTATAGACTCTTTGACTCTGACAGTGATCATCTTCGAATCACCTCAGGGAATAGCAGGAGTGTGGAGCCTTACTAAGTCTACCAGTTTGGGGTTGAGCTCTAAAATAAGATGCAGAGTTATTGTTTGGCTGTCAGAGATATTTATATAGTGAAAGCAAGGACTCCGGTATATTGGTAGCATCCTGCTTCAAAATTGTCTGTAAAAAACTATCTCTTTCTTCATGTCTCTCATAAATTATCTTAGGCTACTTTAATACAGGCTGTATTATTAATACAGGGTAGCACATAGGAGTGGTGGAAGCCACTAGCTCTGTTTCCTCATGAAGGCAAGGTGAGAAAGTCATCAGGCCAGTTGAGGTTCCCTCCCACACCTCATTCAAGCAGGTTCTATGAAAAATCTCTAAGTTTATTTGCCATGGAAGAGGTGAAGTACCTTCTTGGGGAGGTCTGGGTATGTTCAGGCCATGAGAAGCCACCTCAGTGGACAGAAATAAGCTGAGAAAGGAATCTGTCTCATGGGCAGGGAGGATAGTTACTGAAGTAGTATTTCATAGGTCTTTCACTTCTGCCTTTGGAATTTTGAGTTTATACAAAAGAGGTGCTTTGGGGACTGCTGGGATTACACTTAAAATAAATGCCCAGTGGCTTAAAAACTGAAGGTGGCTCCTTTGTACAACCTAATGAGCATCTGCTTGGTCATGCAACTCCTTGATTAATGTGTGTCTCTGTCGCTGCAGAGGAGTCCTGCCGCCAGCTCTTTCTTGTCCTGTCTCCCCATAAGCAGAGCAGAACAGGCTGCAGCAGTGCCAGTTGTCTACAGAGTTGTGTCACTGAGGATGCAGGTTAAAAAATTGCTCAGCACTAAGTGAAGTACTCGAGCAGCAAAGGGTCATCCAGTGCTGAGGGTGAGGAGAGGGGCTAATGGAAGACAGCTTTATTCCCGCTCCTCCTCTCATTCAGTGATTTATCTGTGCCTGTGGATTGCAGTGCATTTATTTTTAAACTCTGCCTTGTTGTACCCAGAAGAAGGGAGCCCTGGCTGAGGTCTCCAGCCAGAACAACTGCTGCTGCAGAGATCCCTGCACTGCCCCTCTTGGGTTCTACTTGCCTCCTATCAAAGACATCATCTTTGTTTCTCAGGCGTATGCACCTGCTCCACACTGTAGTCACCCTGTTGTTGTTTGTAACTGGGAAATCAGTCTGACAGGCTGGGGAGGTAGCAGGGAAGGTGTGGGCACTTTCCATCCACCCTACCAGGAACTGGGAGCTGTTGTGTAACTTCACGTTAAGCTTCTCAGGCAAGGGAGCTGCCAGCTTGAGTCTCCTGCTTGTTTCTCAAACGACAATAAAACGTCCCTCTCCCATTAGCAGTTTAATTACAACCTTTTCATCGTCTGTCTTCAGGTTTTTTTTTTCAGAAGTTTGACTGTATTTCATTTTGCAGCCCTGTATTCAACCTTGTGGTAGGAGTTTTTACCGTATCAATTATACATATTATGTATAATTACCTCGTGCATTCAGATGCTGAGATCTAAAATAGAGCATATTGTCAAAGGATGCTAACAGAAGACTGCTTTTTATAATGACAGAAGCAACAAAACTGAATGCCAAGCCTCATACTTCACAGTTATTACAGCATTTTATTGAGGAGCACACGCACCTCAGCCCTGGCAATTTGAAAAGTGTATTTTTAAACACTGCCATCCTCCACCATCTCTTTGTGTCATCTCTATAAAAATGTGCAAATCCCTACCTTGAGGGTTTCCTGTGGTGGGAAGTGCTGAAGGAAACTTTAAATCTCAGTAATGTGAATTTGATGGATATGTTTTGGAGGTGTGATGTCTCTATCTTGTTTTGTCAACGCTGTAACACCTGACTGGGTAATAAAGTGATTTTTTTTCGGGTATTTTGTGACTGATCTGGCTGCATAGCAATAATGTTTAA